GTTTCGATGCGCGGTTATTGCAGCAGGCGTGTTCTGCTCAGCGTTTCATCTTCCTTCTTTTTTTTTTTTGCTTTCTTGCGTATTCGTTGATGCATGCATTGTGACATGTGCGAGTATTTCCTTTTTAGTGACGGTACTGTCATTCAATATGGGGACAATGCATGGCGCGTGACTAATGGCGTCTTTTGTTTCTTTTTGGTTTTGCAACGTTGAAGAGCTCGGTTATGTCACTTGCATACGTACTCATCTTCAGTATTATGCACTTATGTTTACGAAGATACCTTTTTTTTACAACGCTAGTTGCGTCTTTTGCACCGTATGTAGAAATGCAAATGATGTCTTCGATCCTTTTTATTTGTTTGACTCTTATATGTGCCCTCAGTCCAACAAGAGTCTAAAGGGGGGAGGTGTAAGTATCGACGAGGGCTACTCGGGTGGGCCGCTAGCACCAGGGAGATTTCACTGGGAGGAAAGCGTTGGTGTAAACACTTCCGGTTGCGGGCGACTTCGAGAGACAGGCGTATTCTACGACGCGAGGTTCGGAACGCGCGTTTTCTGTAGAGAGAATCGGAGCGTGCGTTCCGGGCCGGGAGAACGCAATGGCTCTGGCCGGCGCTGTTTACAGGGCGCGTTTACGTCGGTTTTGTCTTTCTTGTCGGAGTGTGAGGGGTCGCGACAGAACGGCAACGTCAGACCGCGTCTGGCAGAATGAATTACGAGATGGCTCACTTGGTCGGCGCTATCCACACCGGGGTCGGTTGTCAGCGTCACCTTGCGAGAAATTGTTTTCTTGTATCCGAACCAGCCCGACCTTTGACCGTGAGATGTACGCAGACCGTGGATTCTCACCCGGGGAATATAAGCAATTGCCACTTGGCGGAAAAGTGAGCCGATTGGTTGGCAGTGGGAAACGCCTATCTCACGACGCGTCGAGGATTTGCCAGTCCACTAATACTGGACACACCAACGAGTGACTTTGATGAGAAACTCAGCAAGTGAGTTTAGTTTGTACTGGAGCTCGAGAGCTGACGCTCTGTAATCGAGTCAGGTCGTGGGATTTCGAGGGACTTCTGTCCCCGTAATCGGGACGTAATCCCACGAGCCAGCCAACTCTCGAGCTTGGATAAGCTAACACCCAACCACCTCCTTCCCAACCCCGTTCAGGGGAAGTTCCCCTTTTGCAGTATTGTTTCTCTTTGTAGTTTCATTCGCTACCAAAGTATTAAATTGTTTGTTGTAAAGTAATCCCCAAATTCAACTAAATTAGTCATCGACGGCAAAGGGAAGCAACTTCGTCACTGGCAAGACCCGCACAGCTTCCCACAACGAAGTCCGTCACCCCATCCGGACCTGGCAACCCGGATGGCGCAAGGTGACCGAGCAACAAAAGAACCCGTACTTCACATACTGTAAAACCATTTATTTTCGCGGCCCCTATTTTTCGCGAATCGGTCACAGATGACATAATCGCGACCACTAAATTTCGCGAATTCCAGACGCCTGCATTGAAAATCTTAAGGACCGAAATTTTCGCGCGCCCTTAAATTTCGCGAATTTTTCAATTCGCGAAATTCGCGAAAATTGGGGGCTCGCGAACATTAAGGGTTTTACAGTATAATATGCTGAAAAATCTCCCCGACACTGACAAAGAATTTCTTCTTTCCCAAATTAATCCTCACTGGGAAGCTGGTACCCTCCCCACCGAATGGACTTCCTACATTATGTCCATTTTACCGAAACTTGGCAATGCGCCACTTTTGCAAACTTTCCCGTCTCCCATTCCTCTTGTGTTGGAAAGACCATAAAACGTATGGCGCTTACACGTCTGAAGGATCTTCTCGATAAAATTAATTTTGTTCCTCACAACCCAATTGACTTCCGCCCTCATATTTCCACCCAGGATCTCCTTCTCCTACTGCAAGAAACGTTCCTATCGCCTACAGGCAGTCAGCTTCATGTGCTCGTGACAGCTGACGTCCGCAAAGCCTTCGATACCCTGCCACACGATTTAATATTCGGTCTCCTCCACGAGATAGGCTGTGGTTCCTCTCTGCACTTTTATATCTCCGCATTTCGCCGTTCTCGACGGGTCTAATTTCGGCTTGGCGACAGCCTTTTCCCTTCTATCACTCTCACCCGTCGCACCCATCAGGGTGCCGTATCCTCCCCACCCCTCTGTAACTTCGGTTTTGCTCCACTCGCTTGGACCCTGTCCACAATACCTCACCTTCGCTCCCTCTTCTATGCCGAAAGAGGTAGAATCCATTCTCCAAACCGGTATTGATCTTATCGCACAGTTCCTCTCCCGCTAAGGCCTCCAAGCCGCTCCCGAGAAATCGGAGCTGCTGTTCCTTTCCCACTCCCAGTACCAGCGATCAGTGAACTCGCTTTTCTCCCTACACCTAAACAACCGCCCTATCCCTTGCCTTGTCTTGTCTATTGTCTGGTCGAGGGTTTTCCTCTCCAAGGCCATACATATGCAAAGGTGATACATACAACCATAAGCACCTGCCATCATTTGACACACCTGGACCGCCAGGGGGTTCGGAGACACGGTTGAATCGACAACCGCAGAACCAAACAGTTAGTTACAAAAAATTGTAAGGGTGCAGGCGAGCTGGTGGAAGTTAACCATAGTTTTGTTTAACCGTCGCCTCCTTGTGGCCTCTTTTCTTCTCGTCCCTTTTCCGAAATACCCCAGTCTCGGGTTAAACAAAACTATAGTTAGTTACAGCTTTTGCCTCAACCAAGGTGCTCAACACTCCCTCCGACTGTGTGCTTGCGCAAACACAGACAAAACGTATACAGTTCGCCCTTAATGCACTCTATAAAGCAGCTCTGCGCCATCCTATTTACATAGAAATTTCACGATAGAGGGCTCTCTCTCCCTCTTTCTACACTCTTCATGTATCACAGGGACCGTAAACTGGGTCGCCTCTCTGGCTCTATGCAAAGCTACTGGCTCCTGCAACGAGCTAGAATACGACCTATTGGTTTCCCCTTACGCACCCCTCAAAATCCTCTTCCCGACAACGATACGCCCCGCTCCCTGCCCACATGACCCCGGGCCTGCATGCTGTACGCCGTCAAGCCCGGGCCTTGCACCACCACGTTCTCCCACCTGATAACACCACATGCTACGCAGATGATTCCAATTCCCCTCCTCTCGGCGCCACAGCCTGTGTCATCGTGATGCGTTCCGCCACCTCTCCCATTACGTACATCGATGGCCCCTACTCAAACTCAACTTCTCCACTCACTTTTGGCGACGAGATTTTTTGGTGGCGCCACCTCGCGGTGGCCCTTCTGTGACGCAGCTGGTAGGATGCGAGTAGACGTCGCGCTATGTCAAAGCTCTAATCGGCTATGCTAGTTCGCATCTCTTGGCTTTAAAAACCGTTTATTTATGACATAATTGCGTATAACGATGTTGTGAGTTCTCTTTAATGGATAACAGCGCCTCGACGTTACTTTTTATATTAGAAGAGCTTTAAAATGTTCAAAAACAGGCCTGAAGCTTCACATCACAGTATTTGCGGCGTGCGTCAGGACTATTCACAGCCTCTCTGGTTCTTGTTTTCTTTTGGATCTGTAGAGGTTGCACTATCAAAAAGCTTTGCATTCACCAAAATAAATTATGTGCTCTCTTCTTAGCTGCGCACGCACGTACAGTTGTGTTGCAAAGCGCCGCAGACTTGTTTTAGCTACATTGAGCTTGCCGATACCGACGCTTCTATCCAAGCGTGACTCAACAGTTGCTACCGATTAAATTCTCGCTAGCAACTTTCGTTTAGAACCTCCTGTATCAAACACGTGGCAAGGAAGTTTGTCATATTACTACTACTGCTCGAAAGAAGGGCAGAAATTGTGATATACTCTTAAATTGTCGGCACTGGCCCGGCAAATTCAAACAATATATTCATTTCTTCTATCCTATTTTACTAATAATTGTTTACAAATTTAAAATCTCAAGCTGAGAAGCGCTACACTCATTATGCATGTACGAATCCGCAAAAATTAGACATACATTTTTTTTTATAATTTGTAGCAGGTGTATTCCTCGTCTTTTTGGGACGGTGAAGGCTCACTCACTTAGTAGATTTATTACCTCGATCGCGAGGGGGTCTCGCGCACGTTTCGTGTCGACCGGATGAATAAGCAGGGATTTAGTTGAAGCGACTCCGGAAGCCAGCCACCACTTCTCCCTGCCATTTATTTCGAGGAAATTTTTCTTAACTGGTTTACAAAATTCAAAAAGGAATCAACTCGAAACTAACAAGAGACCAGCACTCACAGAATACATTGGACCCAACAAGATACACGAAATAGCATTCACTCAAGTGTTTACTACAGACGCGAGAGGTTCTCAAATTTCGCTTTCCTATTTTCAATTTGATAAGACATTCTTTTTTTAGTTTTATTTTGTTCGAGTCATAATAAAAGTACACCCCATTCGCGTGTTAGATGTTGTTGTGGAATAAAGCGATAGATATTCAATTTTCATCATCCTGCTTTTTGCACTGTTGTAGAGAAAAGCACACCACCATTCGAGCGCTTCGACACCTTAGCCTCAAAAGTGTTCGTTGGAACGACTACGTGTGCCACGAGCGGTTTCAAACTTTAGGAAAGTGTCCTACCACAAATATTACTTGACCAAATAAACACAACGCGCGAAACAAGCTTTGCCACCCGTTACCCGAACAGGGAATGAAGCAAGCTAACGAGCCGAGGGATCCAAGATCTGCGCGGCCTGTCCCAATCTGTCCTACCCGTGATATCACAAACGATGATGATGATAGCTAAAAAAGTTCCCCCTGTAGTTTGCACACGCCGCTCAATGTGATTGCTGCCATATATGTGCATGCGACTCAACAACTTAACTCCCTTTCGCCGACTTCTTCGGTACCACATTTATACTTATTTCATGGAAGCAATTCAGGCGATTCGCGCGTGCCGCCTTCCCCAGGCTTTGCGCGACAACCTTTCCTCCGCCCTTTCAGAACTTTCCCCTTTACGTAGTCCTGCGCGTGCCAGGCCACACAGGGAGTGCCGGTAAGGAGTTGGCCCATCAACTTGCCTGCGAGACTCTTATCCAAGCACCGGTGGTCCCATGGCCTTTCCCGCTCATGGCGGACGAGGCACACTTTTACAAAACGACCCTGAAACAACACTACGCACAACTCCGAACCTCAGTGCAGACACTGCCGACACCACACCCCCAGCTATAGAACTGTGTTACTGTGTATTATAGCACATGCTCTCAAATATTTTATTCTATTATTTTGAGCAGTCGGAGTCCTCATCATCGTCTTGTGTGGTGTAATTAAAAGAGACCAACGGCGACGTCAGCACGCCACCCGAAATGTGACAGCCAGCATGAAAAAAAAAACAAAAAAAAAAAACGCTCCGTCCCAGTCTATTTGGCAGCAAGTCTTTGAGAAGGCGCTGAAGGTATTATCCAGTAGCACACAATATGCTGGTGATCTATGCTTTGGTGACAAAGTTGTGGCTGCAATTGCCGGCCTTGATTAATATAAAAAGAACCTCAGCAAGGTGAGGATCATGTAAGTTATATTCCAGATCAAACACTCTGCTTTAGTTAAGAACGTCTAAGAATAAAATTCATATTGTGCAGCTTGTTCTTTTTTTTTTAATCTATGTTTTAAATAGGCTGTTTCTTTCTCGTTTGCGAACAAGTGTTGGTAAATTTCTTGCACCGGTTACAACTTTCAGTATTTCATTACCTTTCGATTTCTTATAAATTTCTTAACCTTGCCGTTTATTTGACCTGAGGATGTTGTGAAACCAAACATTCTAGTCTGGTTGTTTTTCGAAATCCACGATGCTACAAAAGAGTCTTCACTTGGCTATGTATAGAGTCAATCTCGCTATGGCTTTCGATCCTGCTGTTAAACCGATAACCGACGCCAGCAACGCTACCTCTTTCCTTTTTGCTTTCCACACAAGTTCGTCACAGCATAAACGATGAGTTTGTTCACTCATTCAGCAACCCATCAAATATCATGCGTAACAGCAGGGTTATACCTTTTTCTATAGTAAGCATGTTGTCTTACATGTTGCACCTGTTGGTTAAGAGGTTAGAACTAAATATCACCACCCTGCATTCCCTCAACCATCAAGAAGTGTACTACAACTCTTCTTCGTTCGGATATCTGCCTTTGGTACATCAGTAGCTCTGATGTCTGGTTGTCAGTTATGTTAGTAATCAGCACATTTTGCTACATATCCTTCTGTGTGTGTGTGTTTTTTTTTGCAGGTTGTTTGTAGAGAAACTATGCAGCCGTATGAGTAAAATGAAGATAAATTCACAATTACATGCTTGTCATAAGTGACCCAAAGGCTGTGCAGTACGTCCGCTAGCCTGGGCTCCCTATCCCTAACCTGCATCACGCAGTAGTGACACATGAATGTGCGCTGATTTCCAATTATATATTGTGTTCTCACATAAGTTTCTTAGGCTCCCGCCATTAATAACAGAGCTGTTCTGCATGCCCGGCACCCAGTGTTGTTGACTTGGCATACAGACTGATGTAAAAGTAATCCACTCACTCTTCAGTGTCGCCCTAAATGACGTCGAGCCCACACAGGTTCGGCGAGTCGACGCCGATCACGTCGAGAAATGCCTGAATTAGTGGTGTCAGTTCATGGGGGTGAGTGAGTGAGTGAGTGAGTTTATTGAGCAAAAGAAAAAGGGGGTAATGCGGAACGAGAGGTTAGTCTCCCAATAGCGGGGTCAGCTTTCTCGTTCCGCTTGGGGAAAGGGAAACCAAGAGTGGTTAAGAGGAGGAGGATGGCTGACGCCCGTCAGTACAGCCTAGAGGCGTGTTGAGAGGCCAGTCTCTTGGAGGAAAAGAAGGATGGCTTTGAATGTTTGCACCCTTAGTGCTTGTGGTCCTGCGGGAAAAAGAAGACTTCGGGTATCCTGGTTACTGCCGTTCGCAATAGATTTTTTCAGGACGTTTCTTGAATTGGCGTTTTGTGGGCATGTCCAAAAGATGTGGTCCAGATCTTCTCTTTCATCACATGCGGGACAGTTTGGGCTAGACGCTTGTCTCATGAGATGTAGACGAGAGTAGGTGTGTGCACAGTTGACTCGTAGTCTATGTAGCAACGATTGTTGCGGTCTCGGGAATTTGTTTTTAGGAATGGTTGGAGGAGGTAGTCCAGAAGCCGTTCCTGGGTGGGGGTGATTAGTTTGTGCTTCATTATGGATTATGATTCGATAGTTGTTGTATGGATGTATTTCTATTACTTGGGATACATTATTGTGGGCTTCATTTGCAAGGGCATCTGCTCTTTCATTTCCATGTATACCCACATGCGAAGGGATCCACTGAAAGTAGATGATTGATCCTTCTTTAGCCATGTGGTGTACGAGTTGAACAATGGATCTTGCCAAAGGAGTTCCCCTTCTCAAGTTTTGGAGCTGTCGTAAGGCTCCTTTCGAGTCCGTGAAAATAGCCACTTTTTCATTTTCCGAAAGTGTTATTAACTCGGAGAGCGCAAGCCATATCGCAGCAAGTTCTGCTGTGGTCGTGTCGGTACAGTAGCTCAATTTGGCTGTAGAAGATTGATTAGATTCTGGTATGATGTAAGCAGCTGTGGTGGATAAGTCTTTCCTGCTTCCATCGGTATATATGTGCTTCATGTTGCAATAGGACTGGATGACGTCATTTGCGATGTCGCGTGCCACGATATCGGCGACGTGGCCTCGTCGTGGGAGGTCCATGATCTCTGTTGTTATGTGGAGGTGATCGTTCTGCCGGTGTGGAGGGGGGAGGGGAGGGATGTTCTCTGGGTAGCCGACGTGGTCAATGAAGCGTTTCATGGTTTTACCGAGGTAGGAGTGATGGCGTAGTAGTGTGCTGTCAATGAGTGTCTCGTATGATGGTACTCTGAGCAGTCTGGCTGCGTGAAGTAGTGTTCTCTCTTGTGATTGTGTTTTTAGTGGTGAGTCACCTGCCTCGACTATAGTGGAGACGTTATGTGACGAGCGTGGCAGTCCGAGACAAATCCTGAGTGCGTTGCGGTGAAATGTCTCGAGAGTTTTCCATTGAGAATCCAGAATCTCCAGCAGGGGGAGGGAATATAATATTCGGTTGACGATAAGGCCGCGATACAGCGTAAGCATGACTTGTTGACTGGCACCCCAGTTGCGGCCTCCTATTCTTCGGATAGCGCCAAGTAATTTGCGGGCCTCATTTAGTGTATGTTTGACGGCTGGGCGCCAATTTCCTCGGTCGTCAATGATTGCACCAAGATATCGCACCTCAGTGCTTCTGCGAATCCGTTTGCCATCTACGCGTAGCGAGCTGAATTTTCTTTTAAGTCTAGCTCTTGGCCGATAGCTCAACGCCGATGTCTTTGTTGCTGACAGCGTGAGACCCGCGTGGTAGAGAAATGCGGCTGTTGTGTTCAAGGACTGTTGGAGTTTGGCTTGTATTGTAGTCGAGATGCGCGTTGGCCCCGTACACCAGAGCGCAACATCGTCTGCATAGATAGCGCAGTTGACTGCGATTGTGTCACCTTTAGGAAGCGCAGAAGGTAGGCCGGCCATCACGATGTTAAATAGCAAGGGACTTAAGACGCTTCCCTGTGGTACTCCCTGGGAAGAGTCGCGGGGCGAACTTGTATGCCCAGCTATTTTTACATGGAAGGTTCTTCGTTGTAAAAACGACGCAATAAACTTGTACGTTCTCCCTCTGACACCGATATGACGAAGGCGCTCCATAATCACGTTGTGTGGAAGTGCATCAAATGCTCGGTGAATGTCTAGAAAGACAGCATGAAGAACGTGTTTTTGTGCCTTGGCTTGCTCTAGTGATGATGTCAGATTTCCAATCGAGTCCACTGTTGAGCAGCCCGCGCGAAACCCTGATAGCTGTGGTGGTAGCGCTTGTGCGTCTTCAAGTTGCCAGCTGAGCCGTCGGTGGATCATCCGCTCTAAAAGCTTGCAGACACAGGAGGTTAAGGAGATTGGACGGTAAGATGTTATGATGGCTTTCGACTTGCCTGCTTTTGGGACGGCTACTACAGTAGAATGTAGCCAGGAGGAAGGAAGTTTGCCGGATCGCCAAATCACGTTGAGGTACTCTAGAAGAAGGGGTCTATCCGTAGCGTCAATGTTTTTGAGGGCTTGGTTTGTAATGCCGTCGGCTCCTGGGGCACCCTTGCGGCGACAGCGAGTCAGGGCATAGTCTAGCTCTGGGTTTGTGAAGTCGTCGTTTATAGTGGCTAGGGTGAAATTTGGGACTGGAGGCTTCGGCGCTGGAGGTTTTCCTTGCGGTGGAGATACAGGCCTTGAGAATTCGTCAGCGAATTTTTCTGCGAGGTTAGCCATAGTAAGGTTGTCTTTTATCGCTATCTCAGCAAAAGGATATGCTTGAGATACAGGCTCAAGTAAGCATCTCACAGTGGTCCAAGGTAGCCTCGACCCCGAATCAGTTTTAAGCGATTCGCTTCGAAGTTGCCATTGTTGTCTGCCTAGGCGTCTGGTATGACGACGTAGTTTTGCGTCTATTCGCCTTGATTTTGTCCAGTCGGCGGGGGCATTTGTGCGTCTCGCAATCCGCTGAGCTCGTCGAGAGGCAGCGCGGATTTCGAGATATATAAGGTCAGGAACTGGGTTGTTCGCGGGTAGGGTGACTGTTTTGGTGGCTTTAGAGATAGCTACACATATTGCATCTTCCAGTGGGATGCTACCCGTGCCAGTGCTTTTAAAGAGTTTTGCTAGTATTTGTCGATACATATCCCAATTCGTTACTGTATGTACACGATGTTTTGGTGCGAGGCCGTAGCGGGGAGTGAGGTGAATTGGAATATGATCTGAGCCCCATGTGTCGGGCTCGAGACTCCAGACTATCTCTATTTCAGGCGATACCAAAGTGAGGTCTAGGACGCTTGCTTTTTCAAGGTTGGGCCGTACTAGTGTAGGGTCTCCGGTGTTTATGCAGCGGAGGTTCAAATCAGCGATGATGTCCAAAAGTATGGTGCCTCGTCGCGTAGTGCTGTCGCTTCCCCATGCTGGATGGTTTGCGTTGAAGTCGCCACACCAGATGATGGGTCCAGAACAGCGTGCACGAATTTTCCGGATTGCGTTAGGATTCCAAGGTGTATTTGGTCGAACATAGGTGGATATGACAGTAACTTCCTGCTTGGCTATTCGTATGATTGCCGCGACGTGTTCGTCATATGTAGAGTTGAAGTC